AGTATAGGAATAACCGATTACCTCATCCATATACGAGGAATATTCCTATACTCCCTACTACACCCCACCCAATATATCACCACTACTTCCCCATCACCAAGACCAGTATAGGAATAACCAATTCCCCCATCCATATTCCCTAAGGTGGTATTATCATCCCGAAATGGGCAAAGGTTCTCTCATAGATTTTACTAGGTTTGGTTTCAAAGGTTGTAGTCATAATAGAATTACATTCCATAAACTCCTATGAAATGTGATTACATTATACTTATGCTTTTACCTCACACTTCCTTTTATCATTGAAACTCACTTCTTTTCGTTTGTCGTTGTATGCTTTCATTCCATCAAGACATTCACAGCAAGCAACCGTGGTTTTACACTGCATTAAATACTTACCCGTTTTACAATGATAATACCTTTTGAAATGCACTAAATTCTTCAACCTCTTACATCTAACACATTGCCGATTACAATGGGGAGGGTAATGCTCAGTATTAAAATCCATGATTATCTTATCAACATATATTGTCATATTGTATTATTTTACAATATTTATCATAATTTGTTAATTATGACAAGCATTGTTTCAAACTAATTAACCATTACCATGTTCTTTTGACATGCTTATGGAAGGCACACGGGAAATGGGGAGAAATGGGGCGCTGTCGCTACTATAAGTAAATCACTCTTTACACCATTATTTTAGCAATTCTTCCAGCTGATAAAACTCAAACAACAATTTAAATCGCTTCTTATATTCTTCATACTGATAATAATCCTCTAGTTCATCTATAATAGCACTTAATCTGGCGTTATACATTCTAATATTTCTTCTTTCCACCAGCCAATCTGTTTTACTTTCTTTGTTTTCTTTCTTAGGAAACAAACATTCCATGTATATATATTATTTACATTTTTTAACATTCTTAAGATAATAAAAAAAATGCCTCAAGAACCTCCAACAAACTATGACAACACATTCTTTATCTTGGAGTTTTTGTTACTTCATCAAATTTCTCTATCTCATTTATTACTTCTATGTATCTATCCATAAATATTTTAATGATATAATTTCTAACTAGTATGAACGTTAGAAGATATTTCTAAAGTAGAACCTATAGACATACCCACATACAATTATAAGAATAGTAAATACGAGATGATGCCAAATCTACCTGGAAGAATGTTATGTGTTGCTTCTTCAGCGGGTGGCAAATCTGTTTTAATACAAAATCTTATACTGAAGATATACCGAGGTTCCTTTGAAAGAATATACATTTTTAGCCCCAGTGTGCATGTGGATGACACATGGAGAGCAGTCAAGAAACATATTAGTGACGTAATGAAAGTGGATGCCGAAAAGGAAAAAGTACATGATGAAGAATACGATCCAATTGCATTAAAGCATATAATAGAAACACAACACAAGGTAATAGACTTCCAGAAGAAGAACAAACAAAAGGAATTATTCAGAATTTTAAAAGTGGTGGACGACTTCGCGGATGACCCTAAATTTGTAAGATACTCCAATATCCTACATGGATTGTTCACACGCGGAAGACATAATGCCATCTCATGCATTTTATCAGCTCAAAAATATAATGTCCTTGCCCCTATAATAAGACTTAATGCCTCAGCACTTTTCATATTCAGACTGAAGAACATGAACGAGGTAAATAGTTTCCTAGAAGAGAATAGTGCCCTTGTAGACAAGCGAACACTTTATGACATGTATCAACAAGCGGTGAATTTTGCACCTTACTCGTTCTTTTACATAAACACGAACGCTAAAGATGTAAATAACATGTTTTAAAAATTTTGAACAACGTTTTGAAATAGGTGACCAATAATATCATTGCCTAAAATATTCTTATTAATCACTATCACTCTTGTTTTTCTTTAACTTATTTACTTCTTTTTTCAGTTTATCTACTTCATTTATTGTTGTCTGTAAAGCACTCCATAAAATTGGCACACACGTTGTATAATCAAACTTTAAATATCCATCTTTTCCTTCCTTTACTACATTCTGCCATTCATCCGGCATCTTCTTTGTTTCCATAAAATCATTAGCGATAAATCCTACACACGATTTACTTTGTTGTCTGTCATCAATAAAATGGTATGTTTTCGGTTTAATATCTGTTATTAGTTCTACTGCTTTTTTGCTATCTACTTCTTTTATATCTTTCTTTAACCTTTTATCTGATGAAGGAATTAATGACCCTGTATATGAAAGGTCACCATAAACATCTACCCCTGTTGTTGTTGCGTCTAATGTTGATAAGTTTTTATTACTTAGTCTTATCCATCCGTTGTCATCTGGGTTATTGATTAATACTCGTTGCTGTCCTGTTATATCATCGTGTGTTATTTCCAAATTACCTAATAAACTCTTTTTACTTTCTGTTAATTGAAGCTCCGGTGTGCTTCCTATCGTTCCAATAATAAAATGAATTGCTCTATCAGTGCCTCCATTTCTTATATCTAAATCATAATCACTACCATTTAATGTTTCTTTAATTGCTGACGAATGTTGAAAATAAACACCACCCCACACATCTAAATCTGCTTCTGCTGTTATTTTTCTTATACTGTTAAAAGTCTGATTATTTGTAACTGCTCTGTTAATTGTAATTCGGTTAGTGTCGGTTAGTTGTAAGGCTATAGTTCCTGTTGTTGGATCGGTTGCTCTGTTTGGCTGAAATGAAAACTTTATTTCGTCATTTGTTATTAAGTTTAATGAATTGTTAGCGTCCGCTCTTCTGTATATTTTACCATTATTCCATATCAATATTTCATTGTTTGTTAAAAGTAGTAGCGCCGTTAAATCTTACAGTAGAACTAAAATTAGAATTGCCACCATTAACGTTCAGAACATCTACAACGGCATTAGTTCCTATCCCTAATTTATTACATCTCACTGCGTCAGAATTATTCATATTCAAAAATAACTGTTGTGATGTGTCATTGGTATTCTAAGCATCAATACTAAAACCTCTAAATCTTAACTTCCCACTGTTATTAGCAATTGCTAAAACATTACTGGCATCTGTTGTTGGCTTGTAAATTGTAAGTCCTGATTTATTAGAAATATTGAAGTTCTCAGCTTCATAATTTATAGTGTCTTGAAAATAGGTTGGTTTAAATACTGTTGTTCCTCCTGTTGCGTTATTACATTCAATAAATGTATTAGTGTCCGTATTTGTGGATGCTCCTAACATTAACCTCAGTGCTTCTAGGTCTGTTTTTAAATCCAATGATATGTTTGATTTTGTATCATTGCTGTATCTTTCTATGCTTGTGTTGCCATCAGTTAATTCAATATTGCCACCAATATTAATATTACTAGTTACGCTAATTCCGCCTGCTGCTAAATTAGATAACGATAAATCATTAGAAATATTAACATTTCCTGATGGATTTAACTCCAAGTCTACGACACTGTCATCACTTGTAGCATTAGTCATAATTTTATTTCCTTGTAAAGTTACATAATTTGTCTTGTTTTTGAATACTGATACAACTTTATCCCCTCCGCCAAACTGATTACTAAGTAAAACTCCGTAGTCGGTGATATATTTATTGCTTCGTTGTTTAATGTTAATCCACTATGAATAATAGTAGCGGCGCTACAGTCAATAACTGGGTTTGTTTTGAAGCGGTCAGTAAAATCACTTAATGGAACTCTTAACGCTAGTAGATTATCAATTTCTGTATCGGTATAACCACTGCTACCACCAACACCTGCTATTAATGTATCTACCTCACCTTTATTATAAAAGTTAGTAGCCAATAATGTGTTGTTTTGATAATTGGTAGATAAATTTGTGTCTATCTGCGTTGATGTATAATAGCTACTTAATGTTGTATCAATCTCGGTTTTATTGTAAAAATTCGTGGCTAAAACCGTGTTAGTTTGATAACTGTTGGTTAAGTCGTCGTTGATAGCATTAATATTATTGAAATTTTGCAACTGCTTTGTGTTTAAAACTGCTATGGCGTCGGTGTTTGCCGTTATGTCTGTTGCGAAGTTAAGATTTTCCACCTCTGTCTTTGTTGCGTAGGTGTCAGAAATTTCACTTACCCCCGTTGAAGATGCTAAATAAAACTTGTCGGCATAAACTGCTGTTAGATTGTTTATTGAAGCCATCATTAAACTAATTTAGGTTTTAATTAGTTTAATGATGAGAACTTTATTTAGTCAAGAACAGTCGAGTTCAGGACAGTTCTACACCACGCAACACAAAAGGCTACGAGGCGTTAGCTAAGCTGCAAAGCGGAACTCAACGGACAAAGTGGCTTCGCTCACACGTCTCTCCTTTTTTCGGCTTGCCGGAAGTACGACTGCTCTGCAAGTTGAAAGCTGCTCTGCAAGTCGAGAGCATCCGGGGTCTTCGACCTGCCGGATCGAAAGCTGAAGCAGTGGAGCAGTCGAAAAGCCCGTGTCGTTAAGCATAACAAGCAAAGGTGATAAAGCGTAAACAACAGCGAGCAAAAGCGGAAGCAGTACGATATGTATTAGCGGGCTGTGACTGAAAAGCTCCCTGCGCTGAAAAGCTGCCACAAAAGGTGTGGGCGGGCGGGAAAGTTTTTTTGCAAGCTAGCTGCTGTTGCGTGGTGTATGCTTGAACCCAAGCGGGGCCGCGGGTATGAACTGCCGAAACAACCCTGAGTAAACACAGGAACCGTTCAGGACAGTTCTACACCACGCAACACAAAAGGCTACGAGGCGTTAGCTAAGCTGCAAAGCGGAACTCAACGGACAAAGTGGCTTCGCTCACACGTCTCTCCTTTTTTCGGCTTGCCGGAAGTACGACTGCTCTGCAAGTTGAAAGCTGCTCTGCAAGTCGAGAGCATCCGGGGTCTTCGACCTGCCGGATCGAAAGCTGAAGCAGTGGAGCAGTCGAAAAGCCCGAGCAAGAAACTGGCAAGACGAAACCTCGCAAACGTAGTGGAAAGCCAAGCAGAAAAGTGAGGTGAGGAAGCAGCAAGCTGAGCTACTTGCGCTTCTTGGAACCACGGTTTGTTGGGCCCAAGCTGTCAGCTGACGGAAGCTGCCATTTTAAAAATGTGTCAGCGGGAAAAAGTGTCACTTGAAAGCGTATCAGCCAGAACTCAGAAAGCGAGAGCTCGATGCGATTTGACGTGAGGAACTTGTCGGGAAGTTCTGTGGAGCCATCCCAACGAGAAAGCAGGTCTGCGTCGTCGTTCTTCTCGCCAGCGATGTGGCTGCAATCCAGAGTGACACCGGTAATAGAGCTCCACATTGAAAGCTTGCGAACAAAAAGAGTAAGTGGTACTTTAGAGGTGTAAAGTTTGTTATACACCGACTCAGCACCACTATTGTCGCTCAAAGCTGGTAATGTCAAAGCCAAGCGACCGGAGCCATGGGCTTTCCAAAAAGCTAGAAGCACAAAGCACTGTGCCAGAGTCTCGTAGCTGGAGATGTCCAAGTTGGCATCGGGTTGCATTGGCAGACCTAAGTCGAGGAAGTCTTTGACAGCGTAGCGATGAGCGAACCAGAGTAAGCGGCCACATGGGAGGAGGAGCCACCCTCCGACGCCGCAATCGTTGCCTTTACCGAAAGCATCTGCGGCAGACTCCACCGCACTTGTAGGTGGTGGTCGTAATGGCCTTGGCCGCCACTCCCTGGAGCTCAAGTGGGCGAAGAAGGCAAGTGTTTCCCTGCTGGACTCAGATAAGCGCCGCTTCGAGGAAGTAGGGTCTGTGATACGAAGCCACATGCGCTTCGTACTTACCGGAACTGATGCCAGGTCGTCCTTACTACGCAAAGCTTTGTGCCGAGCTGAAAGCAAAGTTGAGCCTGGAGAGATGCTGGTGCTCGGAGGGCTGCCCGTGAAGCGAAGCTTATCGTCCAGGTAGGCGTGGATTCCTGGCCAGTTGCAAGGGTTGATGCTCATTAGTTCCAAGTGGTCTATGCATGTCATCGTAGAGAGTACATAGCCAGGGGCGTAAAGCCGGCAGCCCATGCAAAACCCACTGAAGCAGACCAAGAAGTTTGTCAAGCTGTTTGCGGCTGACCAGGCGATGCCGCAGACATTCCTCCACCTGACCAAGCAACTTCAAGCGTTTGAGCTCAGGTAAAGTATAGCAGCCGGCGTGGAAGTCTATCTGCCAACCTATCCAGGTTGTAGAGGGACCCATCTGTAGTTTGCGCCAGCTAAGCGGTATATTGAAGCAGGAGCAGAACGCCAACACCAGTGAAGCGCTGAGGGGAAGTGCACGAGAGTTTTGCCAAAGAAGCAAATCATCTACGCACAGCATAAGGACGTGGGACAGCCAGATAAGTAGGTGTAGGCATCGCACAAAAAAGCCCCCTAAGCGGGCAAACCAGTGGCTTGAAAAAGTGGCCCCGAAGGGACAGACGCTGTAAAAGAAGAGGCGTTCTTGTTGTCTGAGGCCAAGCAAGCCTCTGTCTTGCTCGCGCACAAGCGATGTTTTGTGCGCCCCTTTCACATCTAAGCTGAATCCAGAAACCGGCTCCTCGTCTTCCCTCGGAGGGTAAGCTGCTTGTATGTCCTGGGGGAGAACTGTTCAGGAACGTGGCAGTTCTGGTTCGTGTTGCAAATACTGTTGTCTATCACCAAGCGGGGAGCGCGACCTGGAGCCTTGACAATGTTCACGCGACCAACTGCAACACGTTCTCGACCCCACCTCTCATAAGCGGCCTCCAAGTTGGGAACTTCCTCTATGTAGCCGGCTGAAACTTCCTCCTCAATCAACTCCTGAAGCAATGCGGGATCTGCCTCAGCTCCCTGCCAGCTGCCTTCACAGACAAGCAGGTCAGTGGTTTCATCTGAGTTGCCCGAGTCGCGAGGCCGCAGGGTGTGGCTGCGAGGGATGTCGCCGTCAAAGCCAGTGGGAACCCCTTTTTGTAAAGCGGGGAAGAGACAGGTGTCTTTGTCGCCTAACATAGTGCTTAAGCGTTCCAGCGCAGACAGGCAGTATGGCTGGCCCTCCTTCACCGAGAAATTCCAATCCTGGCAAGGAGAGTGTGAATCAGAAAAGCGCTTGAAGGACGACCGAAGCCACTCTGTTTCTTCCGCTGAGAAAAGTGGTTTATTGCTGGCTTCGGCGACATGTTGCTGAAGCCGAAGAGGAGTTCTATTCCCAAGCAGCCAGGATTGCCACTCCTTCCGCAGGTCGTGTAAGCTGTCGGATTGGTACCTTGGGCCAAGAGACCAGTCCGGCAAAGAGTAGATGCCCCCGCCATCCTGTGCGGCTGTGGGCGTTGCAGAGCGTGGCTTTTTGGGAATAGAGGCAAGTGCAAAGTTCAAGGAGCAGGGAGCAACCGGGTATGAAGGTCTGGATGAAGAAAACAGGTTCACTGCCTTTTCGGAGAAGCGCCCGGCAAGCTGGGACGGATATTCTGCCGTCCTTTGAGACAAGAAATTGCCGTGCTCGTCCCTGGCACCTGCGACAGACTGGTGGCCCCCTTCATGTACGCATGTACCTGCCAGACAGCGGAATTCACTGTAGCTGCAAGCGAACAGCCAAGACTTAGCTATGTCCTGGCCCACTGAGCACGCCGGGATGTTGACCAGTGAAGCTTGTATCTCAGAAAGCATATCCTGAACAAAAGGTTCCAGCCAAGACATAGCGTTGGTGGGCTGCTCCAGGGACACATGTGCACCTGAACCAAAGGCAGCTCGGAGCAGGCAGACACAGCGGTATAAAAGCTTCTGGCTGCTGTGTACCCTGGCTTGTTGCGAAGCGGTGTTCCCTGGTAGGCCATTCAAATGATCCGGAGACCGAATAGCCGGGGGGCCACCTGGACGAAGCTTCAAGCGGGAGTACTCCTTGCAGGGCGGGGATCCGTGAGCCAAGCGGACAATCCCGGAAAAACACAGCCGCAGGAGGTGGTCGTAAGTGTCGTCGTTCAGCAGGTCCAGTTGCTCCTCGCCAAGCAGATCAATGGGCAAACAAGTGACGCCACATGATGACATCGCCGTAGTAAGTGGGCGGGCCGCCCCACAGCATATGTCCAGGAAAAGCTCAACGCATGTTGTGTCCTTGAGCGGGGGCGATATTGGCTGAGGATTAACTGGGGTTGCCGATGGGAGTGGGAAGCCCAATGACCGCAAGTGTGCAAGTGACTTTGCATCGAAGTGGTCCAAGTTCTTGCAAGTATAGGCAGTCAGGACCCACCTGTCGCCTTGAATTGGCATCGTACAGTGAAGCGATTCACAGCTGAAGGAGAGCGGCGCATGCCAGGTATCCCGCAACTCACCTTGTCCGGCGCTTGTTGCACTCTGCGCCTCAGATGAAGCATCCAAGGGTGCCGGGACTTGCGGCGCCTCCGGGTCCAAAGCGGGGCAAAGCCAGACCTCACCTCCGCTGAAGTTACCGAGTGAAACTGTATGATCGAGGGTCCCTGCAGCATTGCCAGCATCTGTATGCAAGCGGGCGTGAACATTGTGGCTGACACAGAGGGAGCTCCAAGAAGCTTCTGGAAACTGAAGCTGCATAAAAGCGTTCAAGAATCGGAGAACGTCGGAAAACTGTTCTGTGCGCTGAAAGATGCCCGACCTTGTACCATTGTCAAAGGCAAAAGCACCCAAATTGAAATATGCCTCAGAAGCTGCAATGGCGGTGTCGGGGCAGTGAGAAGAAGAAGTGACGGGAGTGGAAAAGTACTGCGCTAGAAGCTCCAAGCATGTAGCGAAGTCGAGAGAACCTTCACTGAGTGCAGAAGCTGCACAGGACACCGGGGCACTTGCCTTGGGCAGTGTCGAGGTGGCCCCTGCAGAGCCTGACGGTTGTGCCGGCACACTAAGCGGGACAGCCGTGACCTCCTCAGCGACGTCCCGCTGTTCGCTGAAGTGGGTTTCCTAATGCGGGGTGGCCACATGCTGAGAAGCCGGGCGGTTGCCCCCGCAAGCTGTGCCGTCACTCTTGGGCACTGCGCATCTGTGCAAGTAACGGCAGGTAGCCGGGTCCTTGCATTGCCCGCTCTGGTACCTCATGCAAAATGTCTGACGCTTGCCATCCATGAAGAGCGTGGAAAGCCATTTACCGGGGGGGTGGCTTGCTTGTTGTCCTTGCCCTTGCCGCCTTTGCCACCCCGTTCAAAGCGCTCGCCTTTTTCACCTTTGCCATCGCGACCTTTGCCGCCGCGGCCGCCGCCTTTGCCACCGCGTCCGTTGCCCGTGAAGCGGGATTTCCAGCTGTTGTCTGGGTCGAACTTGGGCTTGGGGATGAAGGGCCTCGGCGCGAGCAAGCTGTGCAGATCCGATCGCACCTCGGCCACCTCGTGAAGCGCGTCATCCAGCTTCCAATGGTGCACATTGACTAAGTCGGAAATGATTTCCCAACAGCGGCGATCGGCGGCCTGAGCTTCCATGGTAGTGGGTCCCCGTAGGCTGGCGGCTGCCTCGTATTTGGTGAAGCAGATCCTCATGAAGCGTTTATTGTAAAGCTTCAGAGAGCCCAGGTGCGCGCCTTGGCAAAGCGCTATGGCATTGGCCGCCAGTGACAAAAGCTGGGTGACAAGGCCAAAAGAAGCGGGGCCTTCATGTATGTCCCGGGTAAAAGCTCTGTCAGGTCAAAGCGGGCCTGTTTCCTGGGCCGGACGAGGAGACTGTCTTCCTGCGCCCTGGCGCTTAAGCGATACTTCCAAGGTATCCATCGCACCTCCTTGTCGGAAAGCATCTTGTTAGTGAGGGCCAGTAAGCGGGCGCTTGGAAAGCTCTCGGCATCAAGAAGTTCAGTGGGGTATGAACCTCTTCCTAAGCGCCGCCGTCCGCTCGCCACTGAGCTTTGCGGGCCAAGCCTCCTGCCAAGAGCTAGAAAGCGGGGGAGTGGCTGAAGGAGCCGGGGTTGCGGCTGCCGGCCCGTCTCCAAGCGGGGTGCTGGGCTTGTGAGCGTCTTCGAGAGATGACATGCCCTCTGACTGTCGACACTTGCAGAAGAGTAAGCGCAAAGAGGCTTTGGTGATGAATCGCTCGGCGGCCTCCGTGACTGAGGCTTCGGCCAAAAAGTGGTTCACCAACTCTTCAAGCTCTGCCGAAGTGGTGCAGGACCGGGCAAACAAGGCAATGTCAAAAGCCGAGAGCAAGGATGCTACTGCTGGTGGCACATTGCACTCTGCCACAAGTTGATTGAAGTCGACCATGGCCGCGAGACCTGAAGCAGGTGCTTGCCGCCTAGAAAACAGAATACTGCATGAAGCTGAGGCTGAGACCTGTCAGAGGTTGTCCTGCGTCAAGCGGCATGCGCAAGAAAATAAAAGCGTGGGCATCTGTGGCCTGTAAGGTGGTAGCGAGGGATGCCCAGAGCGGGGGCCGAAGCTTGATCCAAGCGGGAAAAGCAAATTGAGGGCATGTTGTGCGAGTTCAAAGCGTGAACCGACTTGAAAGAAGCAAGCCACGAGACTTCGTATTTTTCAAGCGGGAAGCGGAGCTCGAGTATGTCTGGCTTCGAAGAAGCCGGGAGCTTATGTGCCCAAAAGCCCAGCGGGGCCGCCCGTGATCAAGATGGGCAGGCCCAAAAGCGGGCAATTCCATGCCGAGGCGGAGAAAGCGGGAGGCAGCTAGGGCATCATTGATGCTGCCAGTTTCGCCCGCCCCAGTTCCAGTACCCCCAAGCGGGTTGGTCTTCCCAGCCGGACTGGTTCTGCCCCCATTCTTCATAGCTCTGGCTCCATTGTGAAGCGGCTTCCTGACGCTCTCTACCACGTGCCCGCTTGCAGTCCCTGCATAAGTGGGTGGTGTGGTAGCTGTTAGAGCGGTCGCTAAACGTCGCTTGACAGTGTCCAAGCGAGCATTGAGAGCACTGTTTACGACAGGCCCAAAGCTGGACTAATTGAAGCGTTGGGTGCCCCTCACTGTCGTAGATAGTGTGCCTTAAGCGGGTCGCTGGGGCGTCGCTCGCCAGAAGTGGCGCCCGGTTTCCCTGCGGGGCAGCGGTAGCCGAAGAGGAAGCGGGCGTCTGTTTCCCAGTGGTGCCCGCGCCTTTCCTTGGCCGCCGGCGGGGCACGTGGCGTCGTAGAAGTGGGAGCGCCAGTAGCCGAAGCGGGCTTCGGCGGTGTGGCCAAGCTTTTTGCCTTCAGCGGCGGGGGAGCCGAAGCGGAAGACGAAGGAGGCTTTGGTGGTGGCTCCTTCACCTCGGGTTTCTTCGCGGTCGCAACCCCGTTCCCTCCATTGCCAGCGGTGCCGTCACCCCCAGCAGTGCCAGCCAAAGTGGGTCCCGTAGGATCTGCGTCTCCCCCATGATCTGCATCGGGCTGCACCTCAGCGGCCGAAGCGGGTGGAGAGGCAGCTGGCGGGGGTTTCGAAGTTGTCGGCACTGCAGGAGGTAAGCCGTAATCCTCGGCGGCAATGACTTCCCCGATGGGGTCTTAGACATGTGCCGGCACATTGTGCGCGGCGGGCGCATCTGCCGAGGATGAGCTCTCCGTGGCTGATGGAAGCAGTGGGTCCTGTTCCAGCTGCTTCAAAAAGCGGGATTTCTCCTCGTCGTTCATGGACTTGAGGAGGCTGAAGGCGTACTCAGGAGAAAGCTTCGCCATGACCCAAGGAGGCAGGAAAGCGGGCTTAAAGCGCATCTCGAGCTAAAGAAGCATAATAAAGAGTTGATTCATCGCAGGGCATTCGGAACTGACACAAACATGAAGCACATGCCCAGCCGCCACTTATTTTTCAAGCCAAGCACAGTATCAAGCTGCCTCCAAAGACGCAATGATACAAGCCCGTCGCTTGCATAAGCGGGAGTCGGGCGGAAAATGCACAAAGGGGGAAAATTCTGAGATGCATCCACAAGCGGGGTGGCATCGAATGTCGCATATACTGTCCCTGCACGCCAAGCAAGTCATGCGGGAACCTGGGTGTGAAATGCATGAGTGTGCCACCCCTGATGCGCCCAGAAGGTACCGTACCTCCTTGCAAGGGAGACGGGATGGTTGTGAAGAAGGAGCTGGAGGCGGGTGCTCCTCGTGTGAAAAGCTAGGGACCCCACGCGCTTCATCCTGCCATGTGGGGTTGGCCTCCAAAGCGGGAACAATTGTACTTGAGGACTTTGCCGGGCCTGATTCTTCAGCATCCGAGTCCTCAAAGTGGTCCACCTGCGGCCGGGCGTGCACACAAGAGGGAAGCTTGGCCCCCCAAACTTGTGATCACCGAGCTGGATTCGCGTGCTTCCCGTAGGTCACTATCCTGGTGTTCAAGCGCCAAGAAGGACTGACAGCCGTTGCCCAGCACAAAGCAGGAAAGGTCCAGGCAGTATTCCTCCCACTGAAAGCCTGAGGTCTCCACGAGTGGTTCGACGAGCGGGGACTGGCCGACCCTGTGCTGTGGTCTGGCCGGACGGAACCCGGCGTGTATAGAACGCCAAAGCAGCCACTGTGCGCGCAAAGCGGGCCAGACGTCGTCACGGGAATACAGTTGGGCCGAACCCGGCGCCTTGTGGTGCCCCTGTTGAAAGCGGGAGGCAAGCGGGATAGATAGTTGGCTCATCCAGGACAGAAAAGTTGTCTTGAGGCTATGAAGCGTGTACTGGGCAGCCGGAGCTATGCCAGAAAGTGTAAGCATGTAGCGAAGCTTCTGCAGAGCTTGCGAGTAAGATGCCGGCGCAAATCCAGACTCAATCCACAAGAAGAATAAGCAGTCCGGCTCAGGCTGAGGGCCAAAGCGGGATCTGATATCGGCCCAGACAGTATCTAAAGCTCCTAGCCAGTGGGGAAGCCATGTCATCCCCCACGCCTCCGCTGAGGAAAAGGCACCAAAGCTGAGTAGGCCCCAAGGGCAGCCGCCCTTAGTAGTCTTGGTTCTGTAGCATATGCCTCGCAGAGTAAAGTTGCTGATGCAGAGCGTACTCCAGCGAACATGTTGTGCATCAGCAAAGCGGAGGCTGGCACCGATAGCGACCAAGAAGGAGCCCGCCCAGATCCTGTCTGCCAGGTTTGCCTTGCCCGAAAGGAGAGTGCGCTCCAGGAAAGCTACAAAGGACAAGGGGAGAGGTATATACTCTCGCGTTTCTCCTGACCGGCCGGGCTGGAAAGCAAACTGAAAGCGGTGCCGTACAGGTCTGGCAAGCAAGAGATAGCCAACAGCTTCTTATACCAACGCAGCGCCTTCAGCACGTTGATGCTGTTGGAAAGTGGGCCAGACTCAGAGCCTCGAGACAAAGCGAAAAAGGCGTCAAGAAAGAGGCTTTGGTCGATCGCGTCCATGTTGCCACCAAGCTCCTCAAAGGCACAAAAGAACAACTGCACTGAGCGAAGGTAGCGGGCGGCCGTGGTGTCGCTGACCTTGCTAAGCAGGCGGGACTGGATCACGGCACCCTCTCGACTGCTTGCAAGCTGTTGAAGCACCTCACTGTAGGCACCATGCGATCTGCAAAGCTGGTCAAAAAGAACCTTGTTTCGCTCGTCGCATGCCTTGTGGTTATCCTTGCTGGTGAGCACGCCGTCAGCCGCTGCCCGCAAAGCAGGAGAATGCAATCCTGCGGGCGCACGCCAAGATGTTTGTGAGGGCTGGACCGGTCTTGGAGCGGCCAACGACAGTGAAGCCTGAACAGGGGTTTGCTGCCATGTGGGATAAACGGCGTAAGCTGAAGCGTCCTGGAAGTGCGGCATTGCCTTTGCCGCCGGGAAGTTCAGCGATGTACATTGCTGCACAGGCACATTTTTAGGGGCTTCGAGCGGCTTGGGGAAATCGGGGCCAGGGCGGAGCCGAGCAACTGTGGGTTGTCGCCCGCTGTAGCCCACCTGAAAAGGAGAATTGTACCTCAAGCACACCCTCAGGGCGCGCCAAGTGGGTGCCCTCGACATAGAGCTCAAGCTGGGTCGAGGGGGAGTGGATCCCAGCGGCATAATCCGAAAAGTTGAAGTGCTCGAAGCAAGCCCTGCGGAAGCTGGTGTTGCGGCCTCCTGATCTCCTTGCGATATAAGCTGCCAGGATAGAGCTCCGCTGGAGGAACCTGGGGAGTTTTCCATAGGCAAAGGAGGGGTCACCGGGGCACATTGTGACTGATGAATCCAACGACGTCGTAGCTTGCTTCTAGGCTCGAACGCAGCTTCTGCATCTGATTCAGCAACATCCAAGGGCGCTGAGGCAGGGAGCGCAGAATTAGAATCCTCAGAGTCCTCGAACTCAGCAAAGCGGTTGCGGAAAGATGCCCTAAAAGTTCCAAAGCTGCATCAGCTGCATGAAGTGTATCCGTAGCCACCCTGCTAGAAGACAAAGCAGTCGTAACATCACCACCCAACTCAAAAGCGGCCATAGCTAGAACCAGATCCGAAGTCGCGCCACTGTCTCCGAAAGTGTCTCCCGAAGCAGAGTCACCAGTGACCTGACCTTGATGGCCAGCTTTTGAGTGGCTTCCTCCAAAGCCGTGGTCCTATCAGGCAAGTGGAGGAGCCAGCCGCGGCCCTGATGAACCTGGTCCTCCAAGCGGGGAACTCGACCGTGCAAGCGGGATATTTCCGCTCTCTGGGCTGCACTTTCGGCTTCCAGATCGTACAGCCTATCGCACAGACCTCTGACGTCGTCTGTTAGGCCCGCTTCCAGTAAGCGGAGGTCAAACTGTCGAACCTCTCGATCAAGGTCCTGAAGAACCGCCCGAAGTTGTGGGCTGTAGGGCGCGGGCTCGTCTTCCATGCAAAGCAGTGGCTGTAGCTATTGCACTTAAAGCTGCTGAGAAGTAGTCCTGACAGCTCCAAGAACATGTGAAAGCGAATGTGAAAGCAGAAAAGCTAAGCTGAAAGTTTTTTTGCAAGCTAGCTGCTGTTGCGTGGTGTATGCTTGAACCCAAGCGGGGCCGCGGGTATGAACTGCCGAAACAACCCTGAGTAAACACAGGAACCGGCGCTCTCCGATAATTCAAAGATCTGTACTGACACGGCTGTTATGAAAACTCTTTATTCCTAGCGCGAAGTTTTGGTTGGCTCCTCGGATTTTAAAAGTGATTAAGGAGCCCATTTTGGTATAAGAACCAGTAAAATTCATATCAGGCTGTTTATCAAAGTTAATACCTCCAATAAACTTATCGTTAGCATAGCGGTAAATGTCAATTGAAAAGCCATCGTAGTAAGGGCTCATTACATTAACCGCGCGACGAAGGAAATACATAAACTCAGCAATACTTGATATTTCTTGTTCTGGGAACTTCTTGTTTGCTATTTGTATTTGCGCCGAGATTTGTCTATCGCTGTCGATCACACCTTCCAGATTATCAATGGACACAGCCATAGGATGGAAAAAAAGCAAGCAAAGGTCAGAAGTAAGTTCGCTGTTCCGATTTGCCCAAATTCACACAAATCCATTTACCACTTCGCCACCTCACACAATCACCACTTTACCACCAAATCATCCATTTACCACTTCGCCACCTCACACAATCACCACTTTACCACCAAATCATCCATTTACCACTTCGCCACCTCACACAATCACCACTTTACCACAAAATATCCATTTACCACTTCGCCACCTTCACCAATCACCACTTTACCACAAATCATCTATTTACCACCTATCCACCTCAAACAATCCCCCTAAATACATAACTACCAAAGAACTCCCCAATTAATAAATTATGAACCTACTTGTGGTCGGTAGGTAGAAAACCCTTAAATTCAATCATCCGGTGTCTTGGCAAAACTCGCGACATCGGCGACATCATTGCAGAAGTGGCACGCCCGACATGCTTTGTCTGATTGAAAGAGAGTGCAGACTTTTTGTGAAGTTGCCCAGACATGTGCGAGCACATCATCAAAATGTTTTGCTGTCTGTCAGCAATCCCTCTCAACGTGTGCCAGACAGCAAAAGTGTAGAACCTACGCGGTGTTGGCATGGCAACTCTTTTGACGGTGGTTTCGGAGCGGGGCATGACTGCCATTGCTGTCCCTGCTGGGGCAATCTTTGACCTTGTGCCTCCCATTGACATGGGGCAGTTCTCTATGATTGTTTCATGCAAGCACATGAGACAGCAAGAGGGAAAACGCGCTCACTCTTTTTTACGGCGGAGGTTGCATTTGTCCGTGCCAGGCGTGGCGAGCAGTTAGGTCTGTGCTGTGCGAGGCACGTCGAATAGCCCCCAACGGGTGTGGTGGGTGGGTGAAAAATTCTGAATGCATGTAGGGTCGCGGCCCTTGCGCAGTGTTTCTATGTCGTTGTCAGTTTGAGCCACCGGCGCGGCGCGGTGCTAACATGAGAAACTCATAGAAAACACTGCTGACTAAAAATACAAACGCGCAGCGAGCGTTCTCTATGATTGTTTCATGCAAGCACATGAGACAGCAAGAGGGAAAACGCGCTCACTCTTTTTTTACGGCGGAGGTTGCATTTGTCCGTGCCAGGCGTGGCGAGCAGTTAGGTCTGTGCTGTGCGAGGCACGTCGAATAGCCCCCACTTTAGCGGACACTGCAACCTCTAGCCGACGTCTGCTCAGAAAGCCCCCACCGCGCGAGGGCGCAGTGGTAGTATAGCGTCCTGAGGCAGGCGCCCACAGAAGAAGTCCAGGTACAAGCCGTGCGTGTCTAGCCCCGTCCTCTCCGTATGCGAGAGCTCGCATCATTGCTGTGCCTGACAGGAAGCAAGTACAAAGTGCCCAACAAACCGAGGCTAGAGCGCTAGCCGGGCGAGCCTGTGCAGCTGCGTCGTGAAAGCAGCCGTGCGGTACCTGGCCGAGGGCAGCCAGAGGAACTTCCAGCGACTGCGTGTCTGTGCAGGCAGTCTAGAGGCAGACCAACCTTTACCTGAGCATTGCGTGCGTTGCGTCGACAAGGCGCTTTGGCCACTGCGACGTGTCTCCATGCGCCGTGACACTATGCGAAGCTGAAGCCAGCTGTGCAAGGGTATAATGCGTACCCGGTCAGCCGTGCGGTGCTGAACAAAAGCAGTGCGTCCGCGGGACAGTGCATCTGCCCAGTTGTTCTTTTCTCCTGCTAAGTGCTCCACTTGAAACTGCACGCGGCGCAGGTGCGCCCAGGTCGCGGCCAGGCGAAGAAAAGTACCAAGAGGCTCTGCTGTGCTAAAAGGCTTGTTAAGGCCGGACTCGGCGCTAGTATTGTCGCTGGCTGAGGGCAGCACGAACTTTGCGTGGCGAGACCTTAGCAGTTGCCAAGAGCAGTGCGCCAGTGCGAGCTGTGCCAGTGTTTCGAAGCAACCGATATAAGGTTGCAGACTGCCGACTAACTGGGGCCATTCTGTGCGTACCTGCGAGGCATCGAAAATTTCACTGTACCAAACGAAAGAAGATGCTGTGCTTAGCCAGCCACCTATCCCCATGCGGTCTTTGTCCGCGAAAGCATCCGCTGCAGACATGCAGTGCAGGAGCGGTGCTGTGCGAAGAGAGCGAGGCTGTTCGTGCGCGAAGCACAAGCTAAGCCATTGCAGCACGAACTTATACTCTCTTTGCGAAGGTGGATTTCTTGCCTAGAAGGGTCTGCGAGGCGAACCCACTGATGCTTATGGGAAGGCGGAACCCGAGGCACGTCTTGTTTACTGTGCACCTTAATGCTACCTACTTCCAGTAGCTGTGCGTTGCGGGGCAGCCAGCTCCCAGGCGGCGTGCGGCTAAGCTTTGCCGAACTGTCTAAGCAGTCAAAGAAACTGGTCCACATCGCGGGCGCTATGCTGTGCAGGGTGCCTTTCGCTGAGCGCAGGTCTTTGTACAAAGGTGCCATGAAAGGGCGAAGGTGCTTGCTGAGCGAGGTGGCCCAGTTGAGCAGCCCGAGGCACGCCTCAAGGGCCTTGCGAGGCATCTTAGCGGTGCTATGCAACTCTTGGAGCTGTGTGCGCAGCTTCTGCAGCTTGTTCTGAACTAGTTCTACTGTTTCTGTGCGGAAGCAAAACTTCCAGCCGCACCACCTTGCTGTGTCAGCAAATTGTGCTTCTTTCCAACTTACCGGGGCGTTCAGAGCTGCAAGCAGAGCTACCAGCAGGGCAGCACCTGTTTCCGACTGGCAGTGGCGGAGCAGCAGGAGAAGGTCATCCACATAAAGCCAGGCTCGGCGCGGATGCTTGCAAAGCAGTGCGTGCAGGCAGCGCAGGATTAGAGCCCCGGTGCGCTGCCACCAGTATGCAGAGAACCGTGCTCCAAAATGACAGACGGTGTAGTAATACAGCGAGTCTCCGCGCCGAAAAAGAAGAGTGCCTTAGTCGCGGGGCAGCACTGCAGCATTTGTGTGCTGCTTTAAAGTCGATGCAGACCGCCCTGAGCTGTGCGAAGCAGTCTTCGGATAAGAAAGAGCGTTGCACGTCACTAGAGGTAGGCAGTGCAACACGTTCAGGCAGATGTATGCATCCGTTCAGGCCACACACCGAGCTGTCTAAAACAATGCGTGGATCTTTGCCGTCTGCGAAAACTAAGTTAAGTTTGCCTACTGCAGTGCCTGCTGGCCAGTGCTTGGCTGCGTCCTCCAAGGAGCCCTCAAATTTGCGAACCCAGCCGTTTTCTATTTCCTTTTCTATGAGCTGCGCAAGGACTTCTGGATTCGGCACGGGTCCAGTTGCCTGTGCAGTGCTCCAGTGCGGGTCCCGTGAGATCTTCTTGTGTGTCGACCCCTGGCTGTGCAGGAATCCACTGTCCGCTGCTGGGCAGTGGCTCGAAGGCGCCGGTCGGGACGCCTTCCGCTAGTATGTCGGGCAGGGCATGGTCTTTGCAATGTCACCAATGGCCCGCGCAAGGCTTTGCAGAACTTGTAGACGGAACGGCTGTCCGGGCTCTATTGCCGCGAAGGACTTAGCGTCTGCGTCCGGCGCAAGGTGCAGGCGCACGAGTTCGGTGAGCACCAGGGCCTGCTCCTGCGAGAGTGGAGGGTCTGGTGCTGAGGATTCCAGATGTTGGGCAATGCGACGCACAAGGCCATGCTGCTGCAAAAATCTTTTAAAGGCCAGTGACAGAGCTGCCAGTGGTTGTGCCTTGCTGCTTACGTTATTAGCTGATTGGTCTGCGTTGCTAAACATGCCTGCACCGTCGCAGGTGGCCGGACGTCGCGGCAGGAAGCATTGAGGCATGTGCTGTTGCATTGCGTCTGGGCAAAGTTCTTTTACTCCTGTGCTGGAACAGTTGTGTGCCAGAAGACGCCCCTAGTGATTCCGGAGCCCGGTCCTGTGCAAGGCTCCCACATTAGGGATCAGAACAACAAACAATGTGCTGCGTGCCCGGGCTAAATACGTCCGAGCGAGTGCAGTGCACTGCGAGTTCTTGGCACAAGTGCACGTATGCCGTTTCTTCTTCCGCAGGGCACTGCGTTGGGAAGAGAAAGACAACCTGTGCGCCCTGTAGGTGTGCTGCGCGAATCAGGGCCCGGGCTTCTGCGTGGCTTTCTTGGGTGAGTTGCCCGTAGGAGAAAAGGAAGAAAGCTAATCCCACGAGGCCTGACCAGCAGAGAGTGAACAGCTGTGCAAGCACGGGCGGTGCGAAAGCACGAGTGGGCTCGGGAGTTTGCAACGCTAGGGTGTCTACGGGGACTTTTAGCTTATCGGGAAGTGCAAAGCCTAGACCCTGAAACCTAAGGAGAAGGCGAGGTCTTGCGGTGCTGTCGGATGTCGGTTCTGCGCTAGACTCTGTGTCTGTGCTAGCAGAGCTTTCCGGTTCCGTGCGAGTGCGAGGCTGTGGCTCACCGGCAGGCTCCGGTATCGGAGGTGACTGCTGTAAGTGCGTCTGAGGAGGCGGAGCCGCAGGGTTCGGGGCAAAGTCGGCTGGGGGGAGAGGCGAGGCCCCCGAAGGTGCAGTGCTAGGCTGTTGTTTGGGCTGTTTGGCTGGACTCTCAACAGCGAGTCACGAGGCACTTGGGTCCTGGGGCTTGCGGTGCTTGCACGCTGGGTGGCTTTTGCCGCAAGGCTCGCCACTGGGCAATTTGAAGGCGCATGCGTGCAGATACTTACACTGTGCATTGCGACAGTTGCCCTTGTTCCACCTGATGCAGAAAACCCTGTCCCCATGCTGGGAGACCAGATCGCCCTGCTTGATCTCCTGTGCAGTGCTGGCACCCGGGGTTTTGCGTTTGATGCCTGTGCCGGGCGCGTTGTCTTTGCCGGTTTTACCTTTGCCGTTACCTTTGGTTTCTTTGCGAGGAGGCTTTTGAGGTGGCGGCGGGGGCTTTGCTCGTAGCTGCAGCAGATTCGCCACATCTGCGCGAACCGTCGTGAGCTCATGCAGGGTGTCGTCAAGGCTCCATCCTGTGCTGTACAGTGCTGCAATTTCCTGCCACAGCTTCTTGTCCGCTGCGACAAGCTCAGTTGTGGTAACGGTGCGTAGTGCGGGGTCTGCTGGGCTTTGCGTTGCAGCATCAAGGATCTTTTTGTCAAATGCCTTAAGCCGGGCTAGGTGCGCGCCCTTGCACAGTGCAATTGCGTTGCGGAAGACTGTTTGGATACGTCCTAACCATGCTGTGCTAAGCCTGAGGTGCTCAACTGGCATTTCCGGAGTCTCGTCGAACAGTGCGGTGCTCAAAAACTGTGCTTCTGTGCGGAGCATCTTGGAGGATTTGGACTCCACGATGTCTTGGTACTGCTTGTGCGAGAGTCTCAGCTGCCAGGGCACCCATGCGATGCTGCCTTGCGGTGCAAACCATTTGTGCACAATGCTGAGCAAACGCACACTTGGCATTGCATCATTATCGAGATGCTCGCCCGGGTAGTTAATTTTAAAGTCCTTAACGAGCTGTGCAATCCAGGCGGGGCGGGGCATGTTCGGCCCAAGAGTTGGCCTGAGGCAGCACCGCTCCATCCGTTGCCTGGACCAGAGCGAGTGCACGCTGCCAGGTTCGGCGGAGGCGTGCCATGGCCGGGCTGTGCGGCGGATCCTCCACGTCAAGATCTTGCCAAAGCTGTGCGTGATCCGGTGAGCAGAAACAGTCTAGCTCCTGTGCCGAGGTGAAAGCGTATGCAAAATCCGGCACTGTGCTGAAACCCTTGTGTTGCAGTGCGTTGCAGAGGGACTCCGGGACCTGCATCGACGTGAGCAGGTCAGCGAGCGCGTCTGGAGAATCGCTCAAGCCGTGCGGTGCAAGAGCCATGCTTAAAGGATCCTGAGGTTATCGCAAAGGAAAACTTGAGTTAAAAGAGGCTGCGGAAAGAGCTTCAGTCAAATCCAAGCTGCTCCAAGCGAAGAGAGCGAGGCGCACCGGAGGAAGACCAGGACCTGAGCAGGGCAGAAAAGAATTCGGGGCAGGTTGGGGAAAGGCGCTGAGAAACAGTCAAATTCCTTTGCGATTCCTGTGCCGTCTTTATCAGGTTGATGCGCGATGCATCTCTACGCAAGCTTTACGCCTGCAGAAAACTCCTTGCGGGGCGTCCGAGAATTGTGCTGCTATGCCCAGCATGAGACCGCACGCTGTGCGAGGGCATTCATTCATGGAGTCCGTGCGCAGTGCGTGCCATTTTCCCCATGCTCCATTGCAGGCGTAGCGTACGCCTTCACCTGCAGGTACTTTAACAAATGCGGTGCCCTCCGAATCGACGCTTGAGACGGAGGAGGCGGCGAGGCTTTCGCTGCTTTCATCCCTGTGCAATGCTGCTTGCTCAACCATGTGTGCTTCTTCGTCCTCTACACTGGGCGGAGCTGCTGGTTCTGGTGACGATGGGCTGAGTTGAGTCGGTGCCGCTGTGTCGCCGGGTGCTGGGGCGTTTTGCTGCGCTTGTGCTTGCAGGTGTTCGTGGCGTGTCACAAAGCAGGACCAGGGCCCTGAAAGGAGGTGTTGTGCCTCCACTTTGCGCAGTACTGGGCCTGGCGGCAGTGCGAAGGGAGGCTCAGGTACCGGTGCTTGGCCGCCTCTGCACACATTGCTGGGATACTGCTGTAGAACAGCTGTGGGTAGAGAGCTTCAATCAAAAGATTGGCACAGTGTGAGTTGTTAAGGCCGGTACTCAAGGTGACAGAGCAGTCAGCAGTTTCGTGCTCGTGGTCTCCTGAGCTTTGGTGTTGGCCATACAACTGTAGCACTCTTAGTGACGTAGTGGAGATAGCCCAGTGTTCCTTGACGGGGTTCTCTTTTCCTCTTACGCCTAAAGAGCAACTGTGAAAGTACACCCTTCTTAAGTTGAACTTCTCTTCAAACTCTAGCCACGACGGTTCTTGCCAAAGCTGGTTGGTCGCAGGCCACTGAAAGCTTACATGACCCCCCTGCTCAATCATATGGGATGCTACTTGGAGAGCAAGACTGAGCATGACACGTGTATGCTGCTGTCGCTTCTTAAGTCTGGCAGTGTACGCTGCACCGTGGCGGTGTTTGTTCATACGCTGCGAAGGACAAAAGTCCGCAGAAGGCAAGCTGAAATGACCGCAAGCTCCAGGCTTGAGCTGGCCAATAACTTGCTCAACGTGGGTTGGCTCAGCAAGGTCGAGCGTGGACGTTGTGAGCCTCAAGCAGTTTACACGGTGGCTTGCTGCTGCAAGGCCGATTTCGCTGTCGTCTTCACAGCAGTACTCAACGAGTTGGTTCTTTCCGGGCAAAGCCTCAAACCTGCAGGAGCGGCGAAGTGAGTGGTCACGTTCCAGGAATCTTTGGTCTGGCACTGTGCGGACAGTGGTAAGGTGGCCAGGTGCAGGCTCGAGCAAGAAACTGGCAAGCCGAAACCTCGCAAACGTAGTGGAAAGCCAAGCAGAAAAGTGAGGTGAGGAAGCAGCAAGCTGAGCTACTTGCGCTTCTTGGAACCACGGTTTGTTGGGCCCAAGCTGTCAGCTGACGGAAGCTGCCATTTTAAAAATGTGTCAGCGGGAAAAAGTGTCACTTGAAAGCGTATCAGCCAGAACTCAGAAAGCGAGAGCTCGATGCGATTTGACGTGAGGAACTTGTCGGGAAGTTCTGTGGAGCCATCCCAACGAGAAAGCAGGTCTGCGTCGTCGTTCTTCTCGCCAGCGATATGGCTGCAATCCAGAGTGACACCGGTAATAGAGCTCCACATTGAAAGCTTGCGAACAAAAAGAGTAAGTGGTACTTTAGAGGTGTAAAGTTTGTTACACACCGACTCAGCACCACTATTGTCGCTCAAAGCTGGTAATGTCAAAGCCAAGCGACCGGAGCCATGGGCTTTCCAAAAAGCTAGAAGCACAAAGCACTGTGCCAGAGTCTCGTAGCTGGAGATGTCCAAGTTGGCATCGGGTGCATTGGCAGACCTAAGTCGAGGAAGTCTTTGACAGCGTAGCGATGAGCGAACCAGAGTAAGCGGCCACATGGGAGGAGGAGCCACCCTCCGACGCCGCAATCGTTGCCTTTACCGAAAGCATCTGCGGCAGACTCCACCGCACTTGTAGGTGGTGGTCGTAATGGCCTTGGCCGCCACTCCCTGGAGCTCAAGTGGGCGAAGAAGGCAAGTGTTTCCCTGCTGGACTCAGATAAGCGCCGCTTCGAGGAAGTAGGGTCTGTGATACGAAGCCACATGCGCTTCGTACTTACCGGAACTGATGCCAGGTCGTCCTTACTACGCAAAGCTTTGTGCCGAGCTGAAAGCAAAGTTGAGCCTGGAGAGATGCTGGTGCCCGGAGGGCTCCCCGTGAAGCGAAGCTTATCGTCCAGGTAGGCGTGGATTCCTGGCCAGTTGCAAGGGTTGATGCTCATTAGTTCCAAGTGGTCTATGCATGTCATCGTAGAGAGTACATAGCCAGGGGCGTAAAGCCGGCAGCCCATGCAAAACCCACTGAAGCAGACCAAGAAGTTTGTCAAGCTGTTTGCGGCTGACCAGGCGATGCCGCAGACATTCCTCCACCTGACCAAGCAACTTCAAGCGTTTGAGCTCAGGTAAAGTATAGCAGCCGGCGTGGAAGTCTATCTGCCAACCTATCCAGGTTGTAGAGGGACCCATCTGTAGTTTGCGCCAGCTAAGCGGTATATTGAAGCAGGAGCAGAACGCCAACACCAGTGAAGCGCTGAGGGGAAGTGCACGAGAGTTTTGCCAAAGAAGCAAATCATCTACGCACAGCATAAGGACGTGGGACAGCCAGATAAGTAGGTGTAGGCATCGCACAAAAAAGCCCCCTAAGCGGGCAAACCAGTGGCTTGAAAAAGTGGCCCCGAAGGGACAGACGCTGTAAAAGAAGAGGCGTTCTTGTTGTCTGAGGCCAAGCAAGCCTCTGTCTTGCTCGCGCACAAGCGATGTTTTGTGCGCCCCTTTCACATCTAAGCTGAATCCAGAAACCGGCTCCTCGTCTTCCCTCGGAGGGTAAGCTGCTTGTATGTCCTGGAGGCTCGGCAGGGAGAACTGTTCAGGAACGTGGCAGTTCTGGTTCGTGTTGCAAATACTGTTGTCTATCACCAAGCGGGGAGCGCGACCTGGAGCCTTGACAATGTTCACGCGACCAACTGCAACACGTTCTCGACCCCACCTCTCATAAGCGGCCTCCAAGTTGGGAACTTCCTCTATGTAGCCGGCTGAAACTTCCTCCTCAATCAACTCCTGAAGCAATGCGGGATCTGCCTCAGCTCCCTGTTAGCTGCCTTCACAGACAAGCAGGTCAGTGGTTTCATCTGAGTTGCCCGAGTCGCGAGGCCGCAGGGTGTGGCTACGAGGGATGTCGCCGTCAAAGCCAGTGGGAACCCCTTTTTGTAAAGCGGGGAAGAGAGAGGGAGAGGTGTCTTTGTCGCCTAACATAGTGCTTAAGCGTTCCAGCGCAGACAGGCAGTATGGCTGGCCCTCCTTCACCGAGAAATTCCAATCCTGGCAAGGAGAGTGTGAATCAGAAAAGCGCTTGAAGGACGACCGAAGCCACTCTGTTTCTTCCGCTGAGAAAAGTGGTTTATTGCTGGCTTCGGCGACATGTTGCTGAAGCCGAAGAGGAGTTCTATTCCCAAGCAGCCAGGATTGCCACTCCTTCCGCAGGTCGTGTAAGCTGTCGGATTGGTACCTTGGGCCAAGAGACCAGTCCGGCAAAGAGTAGATGCCCCCGCCATCCTGTGCGGCTGTGGGCGTTGCAGAGCGTGGCTTTTTGGGAATAGAGGCAAGTGCAAACTTCAAGGAGCAGGGAGCAACCGGGTATGAAGGTCTGGATGAAGAAAACAGGTTCACTGCCTTTTCGGAGAAGCGCCCGGCAAGCTGGGACGGATATTCTGCCGTCCTTTGAGACAAGAAATTGCCGCGCTCGTCCCTGGCACCTGCGACAGACTGGTGGCCCCCTTCATGTACGCATGTACCTGCCAGACAGCGGAATTCACTGTAGCTGCAAGCTAACAGCCAAGACTTAGCTATGTCCTGGCCCACTGAGCACGCCGGGATGTTGACCAGTGAAGCTTGTATCTCAGAAAGCATATCCTGAACAAAAGGTTCCAGCCAAGACATAGCGTTGGTGGGCTGCTCCAGGGACACATGTGCACCTGAACCAAAGGCAGCTCGGAGCAGGCAGACACAGCGGTATAAAAGCTTCTGGCTGCTGTGTACCCTGGCTTGTTGCGAAGCGGTGTTCCCTGGTAGGCCATTCAAATGATCCGGAGACCGAATAGCCGGGGGGACACCTGGACGAAGCTTCAAGCGGGAGTACTCCTTGCAGGGCGGGGATCCGTGAGCCAAGCGGACAATCCCCGAAAAACACAGCCGCAGGAGGTGGTCGTAAGTGTCGTCGTTCAGCAGGTCCAGTTGCTCCTCGCCAAGCAGATCAATGGGCAAACAAGTGACGCCACATGATGACATCGCCGTAGTAAGTGGGCGGGCCGCCCCACAGCATATGTCCAGGAAAAGCTCAACGCATGTTGTGTCCTTGAGCGGGGGCGATATTGGCTGAGGATTAACTGGGGTTGCCGATGGGAGTGGGAAGCCCAATGACCGCAAGTGTGCAAGTGACTTTGCATCGAAGTGGTCCAAGTTCTTGCAAGTATAGGCAGTCAGGACCCACCTGTCGCCTTGAATTGGCATCGTACAGTGAAGCGATTCACAGCTGAAGGAGAGCGGCGCATGCCAGGTATCCCACAACTCACCTTGTCCGGCGCTTGTTGCACTCTGCGCCTCAGATGAAGCATCCAAGGGTGCCGGGACTTGCGGCGCCTCCGGGTCCAAAGCGGGGCAAAGCCAGACCTCACCTCCGCTGAAGTTACCGAGTGAAACTGTATGATTGAGGGTCCCTGCAGCATTGCCAGCATCTGTATGCAAGCGGGCGTGAACATTGTGGCTGACACAGAGGGAGCTCCAAGAAGCTTCTGGAAACTGAAGCTGCATAAAAGCGTTCAAGAATCGGAGAACGTCGGAAAACTGTTCTGTGCGCTGAAAGATGCCCGACCTTGTACCATTGTCAAAGGCAAAAGCACCCAAATTGAAATATGCCTCAGAAGCTGCAATGGCGGTGTCGGGGCAGTGAGAAGAAGAAGTGAAGGGAGTGGAAAAGTACTGCGCTAGAAGCTCCAAGCATGTAGCGAAGTCGAGAGAACCTTCACTGAGTGCAGAAGCTGCACAGGACACCGGGGCACTTGCCTTGGGCAGTGTCGAGGTGGCCCCTGCAGAGCCTGACGGTTGTGCCGGCACACTAAGCGGGACAGCCGTGACCTCCTCAGCGACGTCCCGCTGTTCGCTGAAGTGGGTTTCCTAATGCGGGGTGGCCACATGCTGAGAAGCCGGGCGGTTGCCCCCGCAAGCTGTGCCGTCACTCTTGGGCACTGCGCATCTGTGCAAGTAACGGCAGGTAGCCGGGTCCTTGCATTGCCCGCTCTGGTACCTCATGCAAAATGTCTGACGCTTGCCATCCATGAAGAGCGTGGAAAGCCATTTACCGGGGGGGTGGCTTGCTTGTTGTCCTTGCCCTTGCCGCCTTTGCCACCCCGTTCAAAGCGCTCGCCTTTTTCACCTTTGCCATCGCGACCTTTGCCGCCGCGGCCGCCGCCTTTGCCACCGCGTCCGTTGCCCGTGAAGCGGGATTTCCAGCTGTTGTCTGGGTCGAACTTGGGCTTGGGGATGAAGGGCCTCGGCGCGAGCAAGCTGTGCAGATCCGATCGCACCTCCGCCACCTCGTGAAGCACGTCATCCAGCTTCCAATGGTGCACATTGACTAAGTCGGAAATGATTTCCCAACAGCGGCGATCGGCGGCCTGAGCTTCCATGGTAGTGGGTCCCCGTAGGCTGGCGGCTGCCTCGTATTTGGTGAAGCAGATCCTCATGAAGCGTTTATTGTAAAGCTTCAGAGAGCCCAGGTGCGCGCCTTGGCAAAGCGCTATGGCATTGGCCGCCAGTGACAAAAGCTGGGTGACAAGGCCAAAAGAAGCGGGGCCTTCATGTATGTCCCGGGTAAAAGCTCTGTCAGGTCAAAGCGGGCCTGTTTCCTGGGCCGGACGAGGAGACTGTCTTCCTGCGCCCTGGCGCTCAAGCGATACTTCCAAGGTATCCATCGCACCTCCTTGTCGGAAAGCATCTTGTTAGTGAGGGCCAGTAAGCGGGCGCTTGGAAAGCTCTCGGCATCAAGAAGTTCAGTGGGGTAATCCTCTTCGAACCTCTTCCTAAGCGCCGCCGTCCGCTCGCCACTGAGCTTTGCGGGCCAAGCCTCCTGCTGAGCTAGAAAGCGGGGGAGTGGCTGAAGGAGCCGGGGTTGCGGCTGCCGGCCCGTCTCCAAGCGGGGTGCTGGGCTTGTGAGCGTCTTCGAGAGATGACATGCCCTCTGACTGTCGACACTTGCAGAAGAGTAAGCGCAAAGAGGCTTTGGTGATGAATCGCTCGGCGGCCTCCGTGACTGAGGCTTCGGCCAAAAAGTGGTTCACCAACTCTTCAAGCTCTGCCGAAGTGGTGCAGGACCGGGCAAACAAGGCAATGTCAAAAGCCGAGAGCAAGGATGCTACTGCTGGTGGCACATTGCACTCTGCCACAAGTTGATTGAAGTCGGCCATGGCCGCGAGACCTGAAGCAGGTGCTTGCCGCCTAGAAAACAGAATACTGCATGAAGCTGAGGCTGAGACCTGTCAGAGGTTGTCCTGCGTCAAGCGGCATGCGCAAGAAAATAAAAGCGTGGGCATCTGTGGCCTGTAAGGTGGTAGCGAGGGATGCCCAGAGCGGGGGCCGAAGCTGTTGCTTGATCCAAGCGGGAAAAGCAAATTGAGGGCATGTTTTGCGAGTTCAAAGCGTGAACCGACTTGAAAGAAGCAAGCCACGAGACTTCGTATTTTTCAAGCGGAAGCGGAGCTCGAGTATGTCTGGCTTCGAAGAAGCCGGGAGCTTATGTGCCCAAAAGCCCAGCGGGGCCATCAAGATGGGCAGGCCCAAAAGCGGGCAATTCCATGCCGAGGCGGAGAAAGCGGGAGGCAGCTAGGGCATCATTGATGCTGCCAGTTTCGGCCGCCCCAGTTCCAGTACCCCCAAGCGGGTTGGTCTTCCCAGCCGGACTGGTTCTGCCCCCATTCTTCATAGCTCTGGCTCCATTGTGAAGCGGCTTCCTGACGCTCTCTACCACGTGCCCGCTTGCAGTCCCTGCATAAGTGGGTGGTGTGGTAGCTGTTAGAGCGGTCGCTAAACGTCGCTTGACAGTGTCCAAGCGAGCATTGAGAGCACTGTTTACGACAGGCCCAAAGCTGGACTAATTGAAGCGTTGGGTGCCCCTCACTGTCGTAGATAGTGTGCCTTAAGCGGGTCGCTGGGGCGTCGCTCGCCAGAAGTGGCGCCCGGTTTCCCCGGGGCAGCGGTAGCCGAAGAGGAAGCGGGCGTCTGTTTCCCAGTGGTGCCCGCGCCTTTCCTTGGCCGCCGGCAGGGCACGTGGCATCGTAGAAGTGGGAGCGCCAGTAGCCGAAGCGGGCTTCGGCGGTGTGGCCAAGCTTTTTGCCTCCAGCGGCGGGGGAGCCGAAGCGGAAGACGAAGGAGGCTTTGGTGGTGGCTCCTTCACCTCGGGTTTCTTCGCGGTCGCAACCCCGTTCCCTCCATTGCCAGCGGTGCCGCCCCCAGCAGTGCCAGCCAAAGTGGGTCCCGTAGGATCTGCGTCTCCCCCATGATCTGCATCGGGCTGCACCTCAGCGGCCGAAGCGGGTGGAGAGGCAGCTGGCGGGGGTTTCGAAGTTGTCGGCACTGCAGGAGGTAAGCCGTAATCCTCGGCGGCAATGACTTCCCCGATGGGGTCTTAGACATGTGCCGGCACATTGTGCGTGGCGGGCGCATCTGCCGAGGATGAGCTCTCCGTGGCTGATGGAAGCAGTGGGTCCTGTTCCAGCTGCTTCAAAAAGCGGGATTTCTCCTCGTCGTTCATGGACTTGAGGAGGCTGAAGGCGTACTCAGGAGAAAGCTTCGCCATGACCCAAGGAGGCAGGAAAGCGGGCTTAAAGCGCATCTCGAGCTAAAGAAGCATAATAAAGAGTTGATTCATCGCAGGGCATTCGGAACTGACACAAACATGAAGCACATGCCCAGCCGCCACTTATTTTTCAAGCCAAGCACAGTATCAAGCTGCCTCCAAAGACGCAATGATACAAGCCCGTCGCTTGCATAAGCGGGAGTCGGGCGGAAAATGCACAAAGGGGGAAAATTCTGAGAGGCATCCACAAGCGGGGTGGCATCGAATGTCGCATATACCAGAAAGTGTAAGCATGTAGCGAAGCTTCTGCAGAGCTTGCGAGTAAGATGCCGGCGCAAATCCAGACTCAATCCACAAGAAGAATAAGCAGTCCGGCTCAGGCTGAGGGCCAAAGCGGGATCTGATATCGGCCCAGACAGTATCTAAAGCTCCTAGCCAGTGGGGAAGCCATGTCATCCCCCACGCCTCCGCTGAGGAAAAGGCACCAAAGCTGAGTAGGCCCCAAGGGCAGCCGCCCTTAGTAGTCTTGGTTCTGTAGCATATGCCTCGCAGAGTAAAGTTGCTGATGCAGAGCGTACTCCAGCGAACATGTTGTGCATCAGCAAAGCGGAGGCTGGCACCGATAGCGACCAAGAAGGAGCCCGCCCAGATCCTGTCTGCCAGGTTTGCCTTGCCCGAAAGGAGAGTGCGCTCCAGGAAAGCTACAAAAGGACAAGGGGAGAGGTATACTCTCGCGTTTCTCCTGACCGGCCGGGCTGGAAAGCAGACTGAAAGCGGTGCCGTACAGGTCTGGCAAGCAAGAGATAGCCAACAGCTTCTTATACCAACGCAGCGCCTTCAGCACGTTGATGCTGTTGGAAAGTGGGCCAGACTCAGAGCCTCGAGACAAAGCGAAAAAGGCGTCAAGAAAGAGGCTTTGGTCGATCGCGTCCATGTTGCCACCAAGCTCCTCAAAGGCACAAAAGAACAACTGCACTGAGCGAAGGTAGCGGGCGGCCGTGGTGTCGCTGACCTTGCTAAGCAGGCGGGACTGGATCACGGTACCCTCTCGACTGCTTGCAAGCTGTTGAAGCACCTCACTGTAGGCACCATGCGATCTGCAAAGCTGGTCAAAAAGAACCTTGTTTCGCTCGTCGCATGCCTTGTGGTTATCCTTGCTGGTGAGCACGCCGTCAGCCGCTGCCCGCAAAGCAGGAGAATGCAATCCTGCGGGTGCACGCCAAGATGTTTGTGAGGGCGACAGTGAAGCCTGAACAGGGGTTTGCTGCCATGTGGGATAAACGGCGTAAGCTGAAGCGTCCTGGAAGTGCGGCATTGCCTTTGCCGCCGGGAAGTTCAGCGATGTACATTGCTGCACAGGCACATTTTTAGGGGCTTCGAGCGGCTTGGGGAAATCGGGGCCAGGGCGGAGCCGAGCAACTGTGGGTTGTCGCCCGCTGTAGCCCACCTGAAAAGGAGAATTGTACCTCAAGCACACCCTCGGGGCGCGCCAAGTGGGTGCCCTCGACATAGAGCTCAAGCTGGGTCGAGGGGGAGTGGATCCCAGCGGCATAATCCGAAAAGTTGAAGTGCTCGAAGCAAGCCCTGCGGAAGCTGGTGTTGCGGCCTCCTGATCTCCTTGCGATATAAGCTGCCAGGATAGAGCTCCGCTGGAGGAACCTGGGGAGTTTTCCATAGGCAAAGGAGGGGTCACCGGGGCACATTGTGACTGATGAATCCAACGACGTCGTAGCTTGCTTCTAGGCTCGAACGCAGCTTCTGCATCTGATTCAGCAACATCCAAGGGCGCTGAGGCAGGGAGCGCAGAATTAGAATCCTCAGAGTCCTCGAACTCAGCAAAGCGGTTGCGGAAAGATGCCCTAAAAGTTCCAAAGCTGCATCAGCTGCATGAAGTGTATCCGTAGCCACCCTGCTAGAAGACAAAGCAGTCGTAACATCACCACCCAACTCAAAAGCGGCCATAGCTAGAACCAGATCCGAAGTCGCGCCACTGTCTCCGAAAGTGTCTCCCGAAGCAGAGTCACCAGTGACCTGACCTTGATGGCCAGCTTTTGAGTGGCTTCCTCCAAAGCCGTGGTCCTATCAGGCAAGTGGAGGAGCCAGCCGCGGCCCTGATGAACCTGGTCCTCCAAGCGGGGAACTCGACCGTGCAAGCGGGATATTTCCGCTCTCTGGGCTGCACTTTCGGCTTCCAGATCGTACAGCCTATCGCACAGACCTCTGACGTCGTCTGTTAGGCCCGCTTCCAGTAAGCGGAGGTCGAACTGTCGAACCTCTCGATCAAGGTCCTGAAGAACCGCCCGAAGTTGTGGGCTGTAGGGCGCGGGCTCGTCTTCCATGCAAAGCAGTGGCTGTAGCTATTGCACTTAAAGCTGCTGAGAAGTAGTCCTGACAGCTCCAAGAACATGTGAAAGCGAATGTGAAAGCAGAAAAGCTAAGCTGAAAGTTTTTTTGCAAGCTAGCTGCTGTTGCGTGGTGTATGCTTGAACCCAAGCGGGGCCGCGGGTATGAACTGCCGAAACAACCCTGAGTAAACACAGGAACCGGCGCTCTCCGATAATTCAAAGATCTGTACTGACACGGCTGTTATGAAAACTCTTTCAATTCCTAGCGCGAAGTTTTGGTTGGCTCCTCGGATTTTAAAAGTGATTAAGGAGCCCATTTTGGTATAAGAACCAGTAAAATTCATATCAGGCTGTTTATCAAAGTTAATACCTCCAATAAACTTATCGTTAGCATAGCGGTAAATGTCAATTGAAAAGCCATCGTAGTAAGGGCTCATTACATTAACCGCGCGACGAAGGAAATACATAAACTCAGCAATACTTGATATTTCTTGTTCTGGGAACTTCTTGTTTGCTATTTGTATTTGCGCCGAGATTTGTCTATCGCTGTCGATCACACCTTCCAGATTATCAATGGACACAGCCATAGGATGGAAAAAAAGCAAGCAAAGGTCAGAAGTAAGTTCGCTGTTCCGATTTGCCCAAATTCACACAAATCCATTTACCACTTCGCCACCTCACACAATCACCACTTTACCACCAAATCATCCATTTACCACTTCGCCACCTCACACAATCACCACTTTACCACCAAATCATCCATTTACCACTTCGCCACCTCACACAATCACCACTTTACCACAAAATATCCATTTACCACTTCGCCACCTTCACCAATCACCACTTTACCACAAATCATCTATTTACCACCTATCCACCTCAAACAATCCCCCTAAATACATAACTACCAAAGAACTCCCCAATTAATAAATTATGAACCTACTTGTGGTCGGTAGGTAGAAAACCCTTAAATTCAATCATCCGGTGTCTTGGCAAAACTCGCGACATCGGCGACATCATTGCAGAAGTGGCACGCCCGACATGCTTTGTCTGATTGAAAGAGAGTGCAGACTTTTTGTGAAGTTGCCCAGACATGTGCGAGCACATCATCAAAATGTTTTGCTGTCTGTCAGCAATCCCTCTCAACGTGTGCCAGACAGCAAAAGTGTAGAACCTACGCGGTGTTGGCATGGCAACTCTTTTGACGGTGGTTTCGGAGCGGGGCATGACTGCCATTGCTGTCCCTGCTGGGGCAATCTTTGACCTTGTGCCTCCCATTGACATGGGGCAGTTCTCTATGATTGTTTCATGCAAGCACATGAGACAGCAAGAGGGAAAACGCGCTCACTCTTTTTTACGGCGGAGGTTGCATTTGTCCGTGCCAGGCGTGGCGAGCAGTTAGGTCTGTGCTGTGCGAGGCACGTCGAATAGCCCCCAACGGGTGTGGTGGGTGGGTGAAAAATTCTGAATGCATGTAGGGTCGCGGCCCTTGCGCAGTGTTTCTATGTCGTTGTCAGTTTGAGCCACCGGCGCGGCGCGGTGCTAACATGAGAAACTCATAGAAAACACTGCTGACTAAAAATACAAACGCACAGCGAGCGTTCTCTATGATTGTTTCATGCAAGCACATGAGACAGCAAGAGGGAAAACGCGCTCACTCTTTTTTACGGCGGAGGTTGCATTTGTCCGTGCCAGGCGTGGCGAGCAGTTAGGTCTGTGCTGTGCGAGGCACGTCGAATAGCCCCCACTTTAGCGGACACTGCAACCTCTAGCCGACGTCTACTCAGAAAGCCCCCACCGCGCGAGGGCGCAGTGGTAGTATAGCGTCCTGAGGCAGGCGCCCACAGAAGAAGTCCAGGTACAAGCCGTGCGTGTCTAGCCCCGTCCTCTCCGTATGCGAGAGCTCGCATCATTGCTGTGCCTGACAGGAAGCAAGTACAAAGTGCCCAACAAACCGAGGCTAGAGCGCTAGCCGGGCGAGCCTGTGCAGCTGCGTCGTGAAAGCAGCCGTGCGGTACCTGGCCGAGGGCAGCCACAGGAACTTCCAGCGACTAGCGTGTCTGTGCAGGCAGTCTAGAGGCAGACCAACCTTTACCTGAGCATTGCGTGCGTTGCGTCGACAAGGCGCTTTGGCCACTGCGACGTGTCTCCATGCGCCGTGACACTATGCGAAGCTGAAGCCAGCTGTGCAAGGGTAATGCGTACCCGGTCAGCCGTGCGGTGCTGAACAAAAGCAGTGCGTCCGCGGGACAGTGCATCTGCCCAGTTGTTCTTTTCTCCTGCTAAGTGCTCCACTTGAAACTGCACGCGGTGCAGGTGCGCCCAGGTCGCGGCCAGGCGAAGAAAAGTACCAAGAGGCTCTGCTGTGCTAAAAGGCTTGTTAAGGCCGGACTCGGCGCTAGTATTGTCGCTGGCTGAGGGCAGCACGAACTTTGCGTGGCGAGACCTTAGCAGTTGCCAAGAGCAGTGCGCCAGTGCGAGCTGTGCCAGTGTTTCGAAGCAACCGATATAAGGTTGCAGACTGCCGACTAACTGGGGCCATTCTGTGCGTACCTGCGAGGCATCGAAAATTTCACTGTACCAAACGAAAGAAGATGCTGTGCTTAGCCAGCCACCTATCCCCATGCGGTCTTTGTCCGCGAAAGCATCCGCTGCAGACATGCAGTGCAGGAGCGGTGCTGTGCGAAGAGAGCGAGGCTGTTCGTGCGCGAAGCACAAGCTAAGCCATTGCAGCACGAACTTACTCTCTTTGCGAAGGTGGATTTCTTGCCTAGAAGGGTCTGCGAGGCGAACCCACTGATGCTTATGGGAAGGCGGAACCCGAGGCACGTCTTGTTTACTGTGCACCTTAATGCTACCTACTTCCAGTAGCTGTGCGTTGCGGGGCAGCCAGCTCCCAGGCGGCGTGCGGCTAAGCTTTGCCGAACGTCAAAGAAACTGGTCCACATCGCGGGCGCTATGCTGTGCAGGGTGCCTTTCGCTGAGCGCAGGTCTTTGTACAAAGGTGCCATGAAAGGGCGAAGGTGCTTGCTGAGCGAGGTGGCCCAGTTGAGCAGCCCGAGGCACGCCTCAAGGGCCTTGCGAGGCATCTTAGCGGTGCTATGCAACTCTTGGAGCTGTGTGCGCAGCTTCTGCAGCTTGTTCTGAACTAGTTCTACTGTTTCTGTGCGGAAGCAAAACTTCCAGCCGCACCACGTTGCTGTGTCAGCAAATTGTGCTTTTTTCCAACTTACCGGGGCGTTCAGAGCTGCAAGCAGAGCTACCAGCAGGGCAGCACCTGTTTCCGACTGGCAGTGGCGGAGCAGCAGGAGAAGGTCATCCACATAAAGCCAGGCTCGGTGCGGATGCTTGCAAAGCAGTGCGGGCAGGCAGCGCAGGATTAGAGCCCCGGTGCGCTGCCACCAGTATGCAGAGAACCGTGCTCCAAAATGACAGACGGTGTAGTAATACAGCGAGTCTCCGTGCCGAAAAAGAAGAGTGCCTTGGTCGCGGGGCAGCACTGCAGCATTTGTGTGCTGCTTTAAAGTCGATGCAGACCACCCTGAGCTGTGCGAAGCAGTCTTCGGATAAGAAAGAGCGTTGCACGTCACTAGAGGTAGGCAGTGCAACACGTTCAGGCAGATGTATGCATCCGTTCAGGCCACACACCGAGCTGTCTAAAACAATGCGTGGATCTTTGCCGTCTGCGAAAACTAAGTTCAGTTTGCCTACTGCAGTGCCTGCTGGCCAGTGCTTGGCTGCGTCCTCCAAGGAGCCCTCAAATTTGCGAACCCAGCCGTTTTCTATTTCCTTTTCTATGAGCTGCGCAAGGACTTCTGGATTCTGTTCGGCACGGGTCCAGTTGCCTGTGCAGTGCTCCAGCGCGGGTCCCGTGAGATCTTCTTGTGTGTCGACCCCTGGCTGTGCGGGAATCCACTGTCCGCTGCTGGGCAGTGGCTCGAAGGCGCCGGTCGGGACGCCTTCCGCTAGTATGTCGGGCAGGGCATGGTCTTTGTCACCAATGGCCCGCGCAAGGCTTTGCAGAACTTGTAGACGGAACGGCTGTCCGGGCTCTATTGCCGCGAAGGACTTAGCGTCTGCGTCCGGCGCAAGGTGCAGGCGCACGAGTTCGGTGAGCACCAGGGCCTGCTCCTGCGAGAGTGGAGGGTCTGGTGCTGAGGATTCCAGATGTTGGGCAATGCGACGCACAAGGCCATGCTGCTGCAAAAATCTTTTAAAGGCCAGTGACAGAGCTGCCAGTTGTTGTGCCTTGCTGCTTACGTTATTAGCTGATTGGTCTGCGTTGCTAAACATGCCTGCACCGTCGCAGGTGGCCGGACGTCGCGGCAGGAAGCATTGAGGCATGTGCTGTTGCATTGCGTCTGGGCAAAGTTCTTTTACTCCTGTGCTGGAACAGTTGTGTGCCAGAAGACGCCCTAGTGATTCCGGAGCCCGGTCCTGTGCAAGGCTCCCACATGAGGGATCAGAACAACAAACAATGCGCTGCGTGCCCGGGCTAAATACGTCCGAGCGAGTGCAGTGCACTGCGAGTTCTTGGCACAAGTGCACGTATGCCGTTTCTTCTTCCGCAGGGCACTGCGTTGGGAAGAGAAAGACAACCTGTGCGCCCTGTAGGTGTGCTGCGCGAATCAGGGCCCGGGCTTCTGCGTGGCTTTCTTGGGTGAGTTGCCCGTAGGAGAAAAGGAAGAAAGCTAATCCCACGAGGCCTGACCAGCAGAGAGTGAACAGCTGTGCAAGCACGGGCGGTGCGAAAGCACGAGTGGGCTCGGGAGTTTGCAACGCTAGGGTGTCTACGGGGACTTTTAGCTTATCGGGAAGTGCAAAGCCTAGACCCTGAAACCTAAGGAGAAGGCGAGGTCTTGCGGTGCTATCGGATGTCGGTTCTGCGCTAGACTCTGTGTCTGTGCTAGCAGAGCTTTCCGGTTCCGTGCGAGTGCGAGGCTGTGGCTCACCGGCAGGCTCCGGTATCGGAGGTGACTGCTGTAAGTGCGTCT